CTTACCACTACACCACCGGCGCCGGCATGTTTACATTATAAATCATGTAAAGTTCTGAGACATGTCATGCAATGTAGCAAATATTGTATACAAAAGCCCATCTTTGTAAACAACATTGTTTACAAGTTGCTTGGTTGCATGAAATGAAATACAAGTTTACGTGAATGAATGTTCACATCACAATTAAAATTCAGAATTTTTATCTGTGTAGCTTCAAGGTTCTCACTGCATCCTTCCGGAGAACTACATTATCATCTATATGAGGACAATCCATCTTTGTTTTCGTCACTGACAGCTATTTCAGGGTTAGATCCAATTTGAGCAGCAAAAAATCTTCCGCCACCTCTTGCGGCTGCTGTTCTTCTCGAGTAACTTCCGGAATATTCCGCTAAACCTTTACATAACCCTCAAAACTTTCCACAACGATTTTTTGAATTCTTCCGTCCAAAGCTTGGATTGTAGTATAAGTCCTCCAAAACGACGGACTGTTTGAACTTTGGTTCTTTCGATTTCCAGGTTATACTCCGTTGCTTCCAGGTTGATTCTTATGTTGGCTGGTCATGGCTTAACTTGGCTGGCTGCCTGTTTATAGCTTTTGCAGTCCAGTATCTATATTAAGTAGAAAAAATCACGAAACAGCGAGGTACAAAGGAAAACGAAAGAAAAAAACTTCAAGGGCAACGATTATAGGTTTGGCTATTCTTAGGCTGTGTTCCATTTGATTAATTTTAACTTAAATTCGACACTTCGAAAATACATTATAATGTTCGAAAATCCCTCTGTTGTGATCGTCCGATTTACGACAAGGTGGTCTGTCAGAATTGATTCCTGGTCTGTCAGAAATAAGTACGGTACAATAGCAGGTTTATAAGTGACGCAGGTGGTGAGTGGTAAGCGTGATTTTCTCCTACCCAGCAGGCCTGGGTTCAATCCTAGTCGGCGCCGCCGGAATTTTCTGAGGCATAACATCTCTGATCACGCCTTCCTTCGGAAGGGAAGTAAAGCCGTTGGTCCCGGTTCATGAGTTGATGGGTCAATAGGTAGGGTCCCGGTGTGGGAGCTGCCTCCCTGGCGTCGGTAGCATTGGTGCTCAGCACGGAAAACAAGATCGACGGAAAACAAATCAAAGAAAAAATAGCAGGATTTGAAAATTGTCCATCTTCCAAATTTAAGCGAGTGTCGGTGATGACGTCCAATGATGAATACAAGTGAACCAAAAATCCTGTCTATCAGTTAATCGGCCAGATGATGCCAGCAGAAAAGGCCCACTGACCCACTCGTAAGAAACACAAAGAGCCGGAAAGAACAACCAATAAGGTACTAGATCCCGAGAGGCCGACCGAACCGATCGATCATGATGATCGGCGGTTGAAGAGGTCTCGAATGGCCAATAGAGCAAACGAAACCTGATTTAAGCAACACTAATTAAAACTTCACAATAAACGAAAACAAAAAACGCGGCAAGAAATTGACGGCTGAAAATTGTCCATGTCTCTCTTTGAGCACAGCACACTACGATCAAGCACATTCATCACTGGCACTTGTTTCTTAAACTAGAGTCGGTGTATAATGACTCACGCCAAGAGAAAAACAGTTGAACTCGCAACACGGTTTTCGAAAGACTTCTACAACAACTTCAAATGACTTCTAGCGAGAGAAAAAATATTGCAGCTGTAGTAAATCATTATATCAGTGATTTTGTCAAATTATCTTAACAAAAAATAGTAGAAATTCTCATTACAAATCATTACCGAGCGTATCCCATGACAATTTAACGCTCACTGCGTGTTTATGCTCTTTTCTTCGATTATATTTTATATTTTATTGCAATACCTTTCGTGGACCTTTCATAGCATCGTAATGTTTATTGACTTTGCACGATAGGTAGCCGGTTTGACAGTTCAATAGGTAGACTTGGCTTCACTCTTGGCGTGACTCATTATACACCGATTCTATCTTAAACCTTTTCCGATCCGGCCCTTCCCATCACGGAAATCACATAAAAAACAACGCATGATGATGGCTCAAGACAAACCCTTCAAAGTCAAACTAGGGTTGATTATTGGCAATACGCACGCATGAACTTTTCTCCAACACTTGCACATTTTTATAGTAAAAATTTTATCCGGTAGCAAAGTACTATTGTTCAAAACTAGTTTAAACGCGATGGAAAAATAAAAATAACCTCCAGTCGAAAACTTTTGGAAGAATTAAAATTGGACCATATTCGAAGGAGTTACAAAACTCCAGAGTTGACCAAAAATGTGCCAATCCTAGCTATTTTGAGTATCTCCTGTACATTCCTAACCAACCAGTGTGGCCGCGCCTTAAAGGGGCGAATGAATTTGAGATGGGTGGGGGCGCACATATGAAAAATCAGTAAGTAGCTAGCTCTAAATTTACCACGACAGCACTACTTCATGAAAGTTCAAATATGTTTAACAAACTTCAATGAAATTTAACAAAGTAAAATGTTGCACCAGACCAGCTTTTGCAACAAACAACCTTAAACAAAATTACACTTAAATACTCAATCAATAAACCGAATCTCTTTGTCATTGCCAAAACAGCTGCGATGTTACAATAGTTTACACCATCCGAGTGGTGGTTTGTTCTTGATGGGGGGATGGCACCGTAGCGAAGCATCCCACCCATCAAGAACAAACCACCACTCGTCCTCCACATTTGGTGGCACCTTGCGCACCGAAGAAGGCAGTCTGAAGTTTCCCACATCACATCCGTTCCATCACATGCTCGGCTCAAATTAATCCCTTTATCCGTTCTCGCCTCTAGTTTTCCTACTTTTTCTTTTCGCGAGCCACTTCCACCCTCAACCCCGCACCGCTCTGCAACTGCCCTGGCTGCTGTCACAACGGCAACGGCAACGACAACGATAATCTTATCGGTGATGAATTTTTTATCGATTCCCGTTTCTGGTCCGGGAAAGTGAGAAAAGGAATAGAAACTCACTTTCCCCAATGAGGAAGAAAAAAACAGTGGCTCTGAGGGAGGGTGACGGCACGCTTAAACCGTGCCAAAGGTGCCGAAAAAATGAAAATCAATATAGTAATTTATATGGATTAATTACACGCAGTCGGTTCTTCCGCACCCGACCGTCAGGCAGCCTCCGAGGGCACCCATCAGTCAGCGGACTCGAGTTAGTCAAGTTGAGTTTGGCCTGTCAAAATCAGGATTTTTCTAGTTCTCTCATGGTGGAAATCTCCCAACGGATCTCCTGCGCTCGACCGGGGCAACCGGGGAGAGATGTTCCAATTTTCCGTCGTCGTCGACTGAGAGAAAGAGCCAAATCATGGTGAGCAAGAGAGAGAGAGAGCGAGAGAGATCAGGGTCCTCGGTCGGTTCGGAACGGATGTCTGAATGAGTTTTCCTCCTCCAGCAAATTGAAGTTGATAAGAAGAGGAAAAGTGAAGAAGAAGAATGGCAAGAGCGATGGCAACACAAGCAGCTCCCATCGCCATCGCTCTGCGCTACACGTTCATTGTTGAAGACGGCACGGAGGTTGATGGGTTTTGCGGTGCGGGGAAAGGGGAAGTCATGTGTTGGTAAGGTGATTTTTTTTTTCACGGCATGTTTGGGGAAGGGGGGTTTGACGTTGGAAGGATGAAAGCACTGTTTTTCTGCCTCGGACTTGGAGAGGAGAATTCTTCCACGACGACGACAACGGCTACGACGACGACTAGGACGACCAAGTCGTGCCTGAAGTGGGAGCTATATGTTAATGGAAAAAAGCGGTGGAAAGATTTCTGGATTGGGTTTTTTCCGAGGGATTCAGCGGAAGTGATTGACCAAAGTGGATAAATAACAGGGTTCGTTCGTAGGGGTTCACTTTTTATTCGGTTCGGTACTGAAAGTGGATCCGGGCGGGTGGTCCCTGGTGGGTGAAAAGTTTTTTTTCTGAATAAAATATTCGTTTTGATGGGTTTTTCGATTTGGGTGTAATCTTACTCAAGTTCTGATTGGGGCGAGATATTGAAATTTTCTTTTTTCAATGGGCAGAGATTGGTCATTTCGATGTCCAAATGTGGGAGGGGTGGGATGAAGTTTTTCGATAACGTTCCACATGTTTGAAGAAGGGATACCATCGATGGAAGGGAAAAATGCACCAAATTGGATCATAAAAATAGTCATTGATTTTCCCGAAATCCTTGAATGGGTGGTAGCCATGGAGATGATCCTCACAGCAGCAGTATTAGCTTAGGATTTGGTAGCTCATTGTACACAGCTCAATTAATTAACTCAAGGATTCCTTGGAATTCGCGCAAATCTCGCTTCCAGGAGACTTGTCCCCGACAACGAACTGGATGCGCTGCAAGGCCAGACATGGCGAGGAAGTAAATTTTCCAGATTCACAAGTGTGTCCCTCTCGAGTAGATTTATTCCCTCATTTTTCATTCGAATAAATTTGCATTCGTTGCCTCGAATTTCGAGAACGGCGAGGACTACCTCGGTAGGATTTTCGCAATTTTTCCCGTCGAAACGGGCCATCGCACAATTTCCGCGCTCGCCCATGTATTGGTGTGTAAAATCGCGATTTATCCTCCTACTCATTAGTTGTAATCCACTTGCCCCCCAAAGTCCCGCTCAGTGTCCTTCTAGTCTTGGCAAACTGGTGAGTGTTGGTTTATCTGTCTGTCAAAGGCGGTGAGTTCTCGCTCTCCTGGGGTCCTTGTCACTCTCTCATGCTCACAAGCACACACTCACACACACTTGCACACACATATCAGAAGGACTCTCGCACGCTCTCCTGATTTAGAATCTTGAAAGATCTGAATTTTATTATTATATAATTGATGAATGAGATGTGTTTTTTTCTGGATTTTTTGCACAGACACTGGATTTTTGCGAAGATTTTCCCCGTCAAATTTCGGCATAGATTTGAATCGAAGAGGGCTTCGGAGGGATTCAGCCAGACGAGAGGGATTCCCCGTCTAGCGAACGTTTCCGGAAAATTGCTATGTCATGTGGAAAACATTTGGTACCTGGAGATCCGGTGCTGAGTTGGGTTGCGCCAGATCGCACGCTGACAACCACGGATTTATCCGTGATAGTGCTTCCGTATTGTCTTCCTCAAATTTGCCCAACTTGCTACCTTGACTGGCACTGCTCTGTTGACTGGTGCCTCGCCGAGCCCCCGAAATAAACGCAAGCGCCATCACGACCAGCCCGGGTCCTGGCCGCATATTGACCTCGGGTTCGGCGGCGCTAGCATGGTGCAGGCCCGCTTGAGACGCACTTGCGACTCTTGATGACCTCGGGGCTCGGGCTCATGGCCCCATCATCTCAGTTTTCTAACGTCCTTGCGTATGCTTCTTAGTGGTATCGCTGCACTGCTGCAACGGGACACGGTATTCTGCTGCTGTGGCTGGCTGTAGCACTGTTTCTCAACACTGACACTGCTCGTCGTCGTGGAACACTTGCGGCCATCTTGATCGCACACACTAGTACTGCTGGGTTTTTCAACACTAGACACCACTCGCGACCGGAACTGGCCCGTTGGCCGGAAGAATTCGTTCGAATAGGACGACGCGAACCGCGATTCTGGGACGGCTACTGGCAACGGTCCGTCAAACTTTTCGCTCATCCGCGGCTACTACGGTACGCGCTGCAGGATGCCGATCCCTGCTTCTCGATGATGGCCCCAAACGGCATTACAGAGTACATTGTAGCGAGATGGCGCGGCGAGCAAAGGGTTTGCGTGCGCAATCAATCGATATCACAACTCATGCGTACTACGAGGTCACTGATTAAAACGCCACTTCACTCCGGCTCGGTTCTCCTCAGATGGCTCTTTTCGCTTCACTCTCCCACTCTCTCGCTTCTCACTTCTCTTTCGGGCAAATTCCTTCACCCAGGACTAATAGCGGTGACTCACTCTCACCTTCCGTTCTTTCTTCGTTCGCTCGCGCTTTTCTCACGAGCTCACTTTTTTCCTAGGTTTGGAGAAGGGAAAAATCCGTCAACACTCACGGCCACCGAATATCAGCACTTTTCTTCGCGTGTTGTTTTTCCACCCACCACCCACAATTTTCCTCCACTAATCACTGCCATTCGCTGTGCACATACGCCTGACTGCTACCAACACAACAAGCACTCGCTCGCTAGCTCGCTCTTTCCGTCTCTTCCGAAAGAGATCCGCTATTGTTGAACACTGAATAGCCTACATTTTCCATCAACGCACCAGGCCATCCCCAGCAGCGCCACCAGACGACAAGCTCAGCAACTAATTTATTATAAACACACCGAGAGGCGAGAGATATTCGGGAGAGAACAGCACCAGCAGCACCAGCGCCAGGAACAATACCAAGAATACGCACTTTTCTGGCAGCACACGAGACGAAGAAGAAGCAGGCTGCCTACCACCAAGAGCGAATCCCTTGGAAAAAAAACGGAAAACTGAATCCTTTTCGCTTTCACCCGAGTCCTGTTCAACAAACCTCGATAAACTGATATCACTGTCCACCGGAGTCCATCCACGGTCCTCGGAAGCTAACCCTCATGCAACCCAGCAAGGTTCCCCAACACCAGCAATCGGGAATTTTCAACTCAAACACTTGGTCGACTTCGCCTTGGTCCAGCAGCCCTAGTGTCCCCCTTGAAATTGCACACACAACTCTCCGCGAAACGACGGAAAAGGTTCCTCCCGAACCGAATCCGTCCGCAGGAAAATCAACCCAAAATCCGATCCACACACTTGTCCACTGTCACTGTGGCTTTCGGGAAGAAGAGTTGCTGCTGCTGCTGCTGCTGCTACTGTTGCTGATGATGATGATGGTGTCACACACCACACTCGCACTCCACAACTACCGCCTGACCAATTCGGTCGAGACCTGCTGCTGCTGCTGCTGACGGGGTTCCACTATACTCGTCGTTGTCGTCGTCGACGTCGTTGCTGTCGTCCGCATTCCTTTATCGGTGTACACTCACTGAACGGCTGCTCCCGAACCGATGGAGGCTTTTCCCCCGAAAAGAAACCCAGCAGCACACTTCCTGTGCGCGCCCGGAACTCACTCTCCGGAAAATCTCGCTCTCCCACTCCACACAGTGTGTCACCCCAACATCGCGACAAAACTCACCACACTCTCAATCAACCCCTCGGTGGCAAACCACAATCCAAATCCCGAACCCTGGCTCCGGCCATCTCCAGTTCGTTCAAATGCACCGTTAGCCCCCGCTGGCCACGACCAGCAATTTATGATTATCGATTTCCATTAGCCGTCAGAATGATGTTGCTATTCGCTTTCCCAAAAAACAACATGGGCCGCGAAACGATTGTGTATACAAAATATAAAACTTCACCTCACTTCAGACTCAATTCGCACGAGCGCGCACACCACCTTCCTACTATTTAGGTAGGTACCTACTGATTTAATGGGACCGTTGAAATCCGATCTCACCGACCAACGCTGCTAAGCTGACGAAATCTTTGGGGGGAGACAGGGAAAGAGAGCTCCTCATCGTCGTCATCATTTTCCGACCCGAATCGATTGAAAGTTGGGAAAATTGATTTTCAGATGGGATTTTTTATTGGCATTTGCATTGCCTCCTCACTCGACTAGTCGTCGTTTTTCCAATCTAAATAAACCAGCGAACGGATTGGGTGGTTGTAGCGTCGTGTCTTTCAGCAGCGATCAACCCTCTTGATTTGCTGCAGGTATGTACGTCGATGCGATGCGATGCTACACTATTTAGAGCTTTTGTCGCGCGATCTCTACCGGGGTAGCTTTTGGGAAAGCACTGGTTGGCAGTGAGCTTTTATGGTGAAATGTTGCAATGAAGCTACCTAAGCGGTTGAAATAAGCATATAGTATGGTATGGTATAGAAACTTTTTAGGTAACATTCAAATGAAATGAAAAGCTAAGTAGGGAAGTATTGTGACTATAGACGTATACTCTAGTGGGGAAAGTTGTTTGTCATAAAATTTCCTATCGGATAGTTGTGTTTAATTAACTATTAGACATACTTACTTTTGATGTTTTACAATAGGTGTAGGGGGGGGGGGGGTCCAATATTCAATAAAAATCACTTACATAATATGCAGATGACCCCTTAGCTCGACAATTCAAATGTTATTCTATGGATCTTATTGTTTTCCATCTGAATTTTTAAGTTCAATCTATCAATTGGACCTAGTGCGCTTCAAATAGTTTACATGTAAGTTAGTTGAATTTCAAACAAATAATACCAAACATTAAAGGTTCAGATTTTTGTGAATTATCTTACTTGGGTTCTTAAATCGACAAATGTATAGGCATTTATACATCGTCTGGAAGAGCTCCGTTTTCTCTAAACTGATTTCAATGATCGTACCTTGTGAGTTTGGCAACATGTAACATGTGTATCATGATTATTTTGCCTCGCAAATAACGAATAAGAACCAGATTCTGGAACCCCTTGAACCGATGCCAATGTGGTCATTTGATTTGAAGTGCCGCATCATCTCACTTATTATTCTGATATGATTTGATATGCAGCATGATTCATTTGCCTCGAATATTAATAGAACTGGATTCCGGGACCACCAGAACCGATGTCAATTTAGACCAAATGTCATCGGAAATACCATAAACTGTTTTCAGAGACCCCATTGTCGGTTTGACATGATTTGACTTGCCTAATAATATGGCTACTTTGAACGTAATAATGTTATAATAAATCCTATACTTGGAAATCACTGAACAGAATCCCAGATCCCTGGAACCGATGATAAACTGGCCAAATGTCATCGGGTGTATTCTTCATTGACATGATATTACCTATTTGGCATAATTTGAAGAATGAATTGAATGAAGAATGAATGAATTTCCAGAAATATTACTATAATTTAACTGGCCAGTGGTGGCGGGAGGAGATACCCCTCACCATCCCGTCCCCCTGTTCCCCAACAGGGGAGTTTGATAAAGCAGCTGATCCACCCGATTCATGCCTTCCTCAAAATTGACCATTGCTCGCTTTTTACAATTTTCACTCTGCCGTACTCTTACGAAACTATCAACTTTATACTTTCATCTCCTCATCTATCGTATAAAATGACCACTTTAATCCTGATGTTTTGCAGATCCGGGTTTTATAACTCCCGAAATCGATAATAACGGGACCAGGCATCGTAAAAACATCTAAATTCATTCCTACTTTCCATATTTCGTCTATCTGATGCACCAGTATTATCGAGTATTTCTGATTTTCATTACATACTAAGTGAAAACTTAATCATATTTTGCCGAGGAGTGTTTTGTTGTTTTTAGAAGCTCGATGACCCTAGAGGGGTCGTTTTTGCTTAATGAGCAGAATATCATGGCTTAATCCCAAGCTCTCCCACAACAGAATAAACCTCCATCAATGGGTTCCGAGAGCATAAAGCGCAGTTAATAACCAATAGTTGAATTGTTTAACCCATGAGTTTCGTATGATCTAGTTTGGAAACATTTTTGGCTACTTTCGAGGACGTCACTTCATTTGAATAGCTTTTTGTTAAGTCGGTCGTAGATTGTGGTAATGTAAGGGGCACGGTGGCTATAGAGCAACCGTTTTTGCTTAATGAGTAAAAGATCATGGATTAAAACCCAAGCCTCATTACATTACTTAGTCGATCTATCATCCAGGCCACTATTGTAGAAAATTGTTAATAACCGAAGTTGGAGGAACGGTTCGCTGTTGGTAATTATGCAAACTAATTCACTCGCCTGCAAGGCCTATCGAACGCAGTTTCATCATCCAACATGATTGGCCAAACACGATCAGATTTACTGTGCAGATCAATTTGTGTTTTTTTATTTATTTTATTTATTTTATTTATTTTATTTATTTTATATATTTTTTTTATTTTATTTATTTTATTTATTTTATTTATTTTATTTATTTTATTTATTTTATTTATTTTATTTATTTTATTTATTTTATTTATTTTATTTATTTTATTAATTTTATTTATTTTATTTATTTTATTTATTTTATTTATTTTATTTATTTTATTTATTTTATTTATTTTATTTATTTTATTTATTTTATTTATTTTATTTATTTTATTTATATTATTTATTTTATTTATTTTATTGATATTTTTTATTTTATTTATTTCATTTATTTTATTTATTTTATTTATTTTATTTATTTTATTTATTTTATTTATTTTATTTATTTTATTTATTTTATTTATTTTATTTATTTTATTTATTTTATTTATTTTATTTATTTTATTTATTTTATTTATTTTATTTATTTTATTTATTTTATTTATTTTATTTATTTTATTTATTTTATTTATTTTATTCATTTTATTTATTTTATTTATTTTATTTATTTTATTTATTTTATTTATTTTATTTATTTTATTTATTTTATTTATTTTATTTATTTTATTTATTTTATTTATTTTATTTATTTTATTTATTTTATTTATTTTATTTATTTAATTTATTTAATTTATTTAATTTATTTAATTTATTTTATTTATTTTATTTATTTTATTTATTTTATTTATTTTATTTATTTTATTTATTTTATTTATTTTATTTATTTTATTTATTTTATTTATTTTATTTATTTTATTTATTTTATTTATTTTATTTATTTTATTTATTTTATTTATTTTATTTATTTTATTTATTTTATTTATTTTATTTATTTTATTTATTTTATTTATTTTATTTATTTTATTTATTTTATTTATTTTATTAATTTATTTATTTTATTTATTTTATTTATTTTATTTATTTTATTTATTTTATTTATTTTATTTATTTTATTTATTTTATTTATTTTATTTATTTGATTTATTTTATTTCTTTTATTTATTTTATTTATTTTATTTATTTTATTTATTTTATTTATTATTTTATTTATTTTATTTATTTTATTTATTTTATTTATTTTATTTATTTTATTTATTTTATTTATTTTATTTATTTTATTTATTTTATTTATTTTATTTATTTTATTTATTTTATTTATTTTATTTATTTTATTTATTTTATTTATTTTATTTATTTTATTTATTTTATTTATTTTATTTATTTTATTTTTTTTATTTATTTTATTTATTTTATTTATTTTATTTATTTTATTTATTTTATTTATTTTATTTATTTTATTTATTTTATTTATTTTATTTATTTTATTTATTTTATTTATTTTATTTATTTTATTTATTTTATTTATTTTATTTATTTTATTTATTTTATTTATTTTATTTATTTTATTTATTTTATTTATTTTATTTTTTTATTTATTTTATTTATTTTATTTATTTTATTTATTTTATTTATTTTATTTATTTTATTTATTTTATTTATTTTATTTATTTTATTTATTTAATTTATTTTATTTATTTTATTTATTTTATTTATTTTATTTATTTGATTTATTTGATTTATTTTAGTTATTTTATTTATTTTATTTATTTTATTTATTTTATTTATTTTATTTATTTTATTTTTTGTATTTATTTTATTTATTTTATTTATTTTATTTATTTTATTTATTTTATTTATTTTATTTATTTTATTTATTTTATTTATTTTACTTATTTTATTTATTTTATTTATTTTATTTATTTTATTTATTTTATTTATTTTATTTATTTTATTTATTTTATTTATTTTATTTATTTAATTTATTTTATTTATTTTATTTATTTTATTTATTTTATTAATTTCATATATTTTATTTATTTTATATATTTTATTTATTTTATTTATTTTATTTATTTTATTTATTTTATTTATCTTATTTATTTTATTTATTTTATTTATTTTTTTTAATTTTATTTATTTTATTTTTTTTATTTTTTTATTTATTTTATTTATTTTATTTATTTAATTTATTTTATTTATTTTATTTATTTCATTTATTTTATTTATTTTATTTATTTTATTTATCTCCCAGCTAGCTGTATTAAAGTTAAGCTCTATTTACTAACGAAGCTAATCGTGAATATGCATCAACTGGATATTTCGTGACGTAATCATAAGTTGACACACTAAAAGCACTGTTAACAATATTTCAACGTAATCATCAAATCTTCGAATTGGTTGCATTAAATTACATGCAATTAACATAATTTCCGTTATGAATCCAATGTAAACCAAAAAGATCTAAGAGACCAAGAAATATTGCATCTGTAAATACGCAATATTACCATAGAATTAACTCTAAAACCAGAAGGTCCCGAAGAAACGTGCTCAACTTTTTGGCTCAGCTCTGGTACTATCTTCAGTCCCAAGCTAATCGATGCACTCCTCGAAACATAGGAAAATCTACGAGCCCCTCATTTTATCTGTCAAACTTTCATAGCGCATCAAAGCAAACATTGTGTAGTAGTAGAATTTTGACTAAAATGGGACATTTACGAAAGAAGCCATTATTAATGTTTTCGACATTGGTCCTTATGAATGCTCAGTGTCGATATCATGAAAATTTTATTTTGACAAATCGATGTCCAACTATGCCAGTTATTCCACTGAGATAAAACAAAAACGGGGTCAGCTTTGAGTCAGCTTTATGCATGAAGTTCCACATATGTTATGTGTCACCGTCCTTCTAGATATTCTTCTTGCTGGTCAGGAAAAAAAAAGATGAACTTTTCACACAGCACCGTAATCGTCAGTCAGCTCATATCCCAGCAGCCAGACCAAAACATTCAAGCTGTCAGAAGTACAGGGTTGCCAAATATACGTATTTTACAAAAAATCGCAGCTTGCTCTATGACCGGCACAATCGGCACACTTGCGGCACACTGATAAAAATGTTGACCCAAGATTGGTGTGTGGAGTGACCTACCCCTTGGTCTAATTATTTTTTCATACACAGTTTGAAAAAGTAGTGTAAATTTCTGTTCAGTATGATGCACGTACATGGAGTGTGACATATCATATAAGTTTAAATTTTATATCATGTAAAGTTCTGACATATTGCATGCAATGTAGAAAATATTGTATACAAAAGCTCATTTTTGTAAGCAACATTGTTAACTAGTTGCTCGGTAACGTGAAATGAAATACAAGTTTACGTGAAAGAATGTTAACATCACAATTAAAATTAAGAAATTTTATCTGTGCACGTTTGAATGATCACAGCAACCCGAGTAACTGTATGATGTGATATGATGGGCTCGGTGGCCTTAAAGCGACCGCTTTTGCTTACTTAACTCGATTATTAAAAAAGAGCTCGTTTGCCTATTGGAAAACGCTTACTGAGCAGAAGACCCTGGGTTCAATCCCAAGCTCCTTCGCGTTATATGAACTTATCTTTAACTAAAACGAACCCTGTTGCAAACCTTGCCCTCTTACCCAATATCCCAGTGATTCCTCGTGGAAGTGCAGAGGTGTTCTCGGCTTCCATCAAAGCGAGTGTCACGTCACCACATTCGTACCCATTCCTTACTTGACCTGTGTTCGGGCGTGGCCGGCGCTGGTATTGCCTAGTTTGAGATCACCAGTTTTTACACATTGAGGATGAAAGCTAGTCCCAAAGCATCGTCTATTGGTTCTTTGTGAAAGTACAGCTGATTTGGCAATAACAGAGTAGCAACCGTGGGCGGTCAATCATGTTCATGCTCGTTTTTCTGATGCACTGGTGGTTCTTATTATCATTAAAATCAAAAATCTATCTTTTTCTTTGTATAAATTAAGGTATACATTCTCCAGCAAAGTTATAGCTGAGCTAATTTCAAGCAACTTTGTTAAAAAAAAAGTTTTATATCTCTTAAATTCACCGATTTAGAGCTATTTTCTCGAATTGAGTAAACATTTTATTTAAAATAGTCATTAGAGTAGTCCTATGAAAACCATCTTTAGCCAATAACTTTTTTATTTGAAATTTCTCATGTCTAGAGGCTTTAAAACTCTTTAATTATAATGTTTAATACAGAAACCGGTACATTTTTCACCAACATTATAGCTCAGCTAATTTCAAGCAACTTTGTAGAAAAAACTGTTTTTGTTTGTCTTGATTTGACTGATTTAGAGCAATTTCCTAAGTTGACTAAGAGGGTATCTAAAAAAAAACAGTTTTTACTCTATCTTTTTTTATTACAAAATTAGCAACAAAGTTATCCATTTTCGCCGCTTTTCATTATCTTTTACCGATCAATTTGGACGCTTATTAAAATACACTCTTTTAATATGTTTAAAATTGTGTTGCTATGATTAGTTGCTATTAAAACAATCATGACTTTTCTGGGCATAGAATATTGTTTTACTAGAGTGGGTATAGTATAAAAGAGAAGCGGACTGGCAAGTTTTAAGCCAAACGAACTGTCAAAGCCAGAGCCAATTGAGCAGCGTCTATCTTGATTGCATTGGCAGTGTTGCTAGAAATCACATAGGCATAGGTTGTCAAGGCAGTTTGTTTTGAATCCGCTCCTCTCTTATACTGGACCCTCTCTATGTTTTACTTGCCACATATGATGGCTAATTCAAAAATGTTACAGACTTACTCCTCCAAAGTCCCAGTGAGACCGTAATTATCCAAAGAGGAAGACATGTCCTAGATTATTGTAATAGTGATGTAGACGTTCATCCGTTACCTCATAGACAACAATTTGGGATTATTAACTATCTCGGAGATGGAACTGTCCGAGCCAAGTCCTTGCAAATGTTGGGGATGGGAAGGATTGTTAGTTCTACACTGACTTCAGAGAGATTTAGGGAACTCTATGACTCTCCACGGGAAGGGTGGAAATTTTTTGTATGGAAGTTAAAGCCTGAGCTTGAAACCACGACTATTCAATCGTTGAGCAGCCACTCGGTTTACTGAACCACCAAGCTCATCTTTCAATGAAGTTTTATTTTCCTTATATTCAAATGTATGCTTACATGCTCCAATGAACCATTTACGCCAATAAAACTTAACCTTAAAAAATCAACTACTTACGACCAGGTAAAAAATTTACCCCACAAAGGTTGGCTCGCCATGCAATCAATTTAAGTGCTGGGAAAACGAATGTTATCATTAAATCAGTACCAACCACCTATTCAAAACCCCACCTTGACCTTACCGAAAGTACATACAGTACAGGACAACCAGACCTTAGTCGGAATGGTAAGGTATGTAACCGGAAAGAATACCCATCAGATAAAAATAATCTCCGCAAGCGCAAATTCTTAAGCCACAAAAAAACCGCGTCGCCACTTGCACGCCCAAATTTGTCTGTTTTGTTTTTCCTTATCCAAACCACTTCCCGACAAAGCCATCCACTGTCGCTATCCATGCCGAGACCTACCAACCAACACGAATTGAATCAGGAGTGGCAATAAACTGGAACTGATCGGACTGGAATTAGATTTTCCGGCCTTTTGTTTTGGTTCGCTCATTCGGCTGTAAATATGCCGCCTGCATCGCTGGCTCTACGGCGCTCATAAAAGTGCTTCCACAAACAAAACATGTTTTGTTATCAGTTGCAGATAGAAGCGAATGTTCGGTTCTCTGAGACGCACTCTTTGCTTCGTAAAAGTTTGAGAGCTCTTGGTGAGAGAAAGAGAATGCAATTATGGGATTGAGGAAGTCCTAAGGAATTGCATTTTCTGCTTCATAAGTAATTGAAAGTACATAGTCATTCGGTTAAAAACTTAGTGTAATGGATTTTCAACATTTTAGAAAAAAGTGACAAGCTTAGGTAGACAATGAATTATGCATAACAGCTTGAGATTATCAATAAACAATTATGGAACTGGCAACACTTTCGGTCACCTCTTTCTTAAGTCGCTTCACACTTCTTCACGGCGTGCGCTCTCTCACTATGCCGCCCCGAACCGAGTTGCATTGAGCAACCGGTGTGCGCTGTAGGCTCAAAGCATAGTTCTTCCGCACGTTGCCTTCAGTCTTGTGTGCTTGCTTGTCTTGACAGCATCGGTTGCGGTATTCGTCCGTCTGTTCGTTCGTTCAGCCAGTTGAGTGGTGCGTTTCAAACAGGATTTGAAATTCTTGTAAGGTGGAAACGTTCTGAAATAAGTGTTTTTATCAAACTAGACTGTGAAAACTTGATAGTGGAAAACAGCGCCTAACTGTGCGAGTGTGGTAGGTTGTTATCGTCGAAGACTTCTCTAGTGTTTTAGTTGGTTTTTGTTCTTGTTGTTGTTGTTGTTATTGTCAGTGTGAAAAGTGCATGCACTTCTTTTCTCGTTGGATGCTTGCGAGTGTGTACGGTCCTTGCCGTGAAGAAAACAACGTTCTCAACGACTTTCGTGTGTTTTCGCTGACTTAAAGCCAAATGCTGCTGCCGCTGCTGAGTTAGTGCTTTCTTTTATTTTTAGTTTGAAACTGCTGTGAAAATAGATGGAATTGTTTTGGTTTCTGCGCTAGTTGGGAGTATAGAGTTACACGAATGATTCTGAATGCACACAGTTGGGTGGGAATTGAGATTGATGTGTGGACATATGTGATGGGGTTTCGTGGCAAGCTTCTTTGCGTAAACTAAACAGACGTATCTACAATATCAGAAATATTTTCAAAGGACAATACAGAAATATGATTTTGCAAATAACGGTGCCTTGGATGCATTTAGTTTTATCAAGAAAATTTATTTTAATACAAACCAAAACTATAATGCGATGCTGAAGTATTATGTGGCTAGATCTGGAAAATGTCTGTTTCTCAATTTCCTAAAATGGTTAAATGTTCGACGTTCAAACTTCAGGAGACTTTTTTTGATGATCACAAATTCAAATTGTTATGATTTGTCAGTGTAGTAAAGGCACTTTTTGAGATAAATATCCCTCGCAGAGCACTACTTGCTTGGATTCGAGTAAACATATTTTCAAGCTTCAAAGTAAATGAGCAAACAATTAATATGAAGAAATATAATTTTTTCCGAAATATTTCAGTTAAACATGAGGTCCAGTTGTAGGAAAATAAAAGGAAGGAGCAGCTACTACACTTTTCCCTATCATTTGAATATCATAAAAAATTGTTTTTGTGGTGACCTGTTCCTTGATCCACAATGGAATTTCAACTGTTTTCATTATCCGTTATAAACTACTACAGTCAAAAGTCAAAGTCACCTTCAAACTTATCCTTATTCCTTTCAGTTATTTCTTCTTGATGAGAGTAAAAGTGGTACAACTGTCAAAGTTCATCAAATTCGTTAAATCATCTACAAAGTGGGTTTCATGTGATTGTGATTGCATTTGAGTGAATATTTCCGCTTTGAATAAACCGTAAAATTTCCAAGTAAGAAAAACGGTAAAAGATGGGTCCCACCAACAAAAACGTCCTTTTCTTCAATTTTTCGCAGAGAGCAGTTCCACGCCAAAAGACGCATTGATCTGACTCGACCTTCTCATATTTGCATGCAACTTTGTATAATTGTTTGCTATGATCATTGATTCACATTTATGCTTAGAGTCAGCCATTTTGAATCTTGATTTTTTTTTTCAAAATTGCGTAGTCTATATTTTTTAGTGAATTGTTGCATGAAACCGTCACTTCTGATTGAATTGACGTTTGAGAGACAAAGTAGTGGTGATAAATTAAAGCCTTCTAGGGCAAATCCACGATATTTTTCTATGAATTTTGAGTAAACATCCAATGAAGCATTAAACAATAAAATTACAAAAACTGTCCATGGTCAATATTATTTGGTTTTTTTTTTTCATTTTAAAAGTCACGACAAATTTTGCTTCAATGTTTGTTTTTTATTTGTGCTATATTGTTTGTAAATTTTACTCAGAAACGATTTAAATGGTTTTCAATATATTGTTTCTCCTTGATTTGTTTTCCATCGATCTTTATTTTCCGTACTGCTACCGACCCAGGGAGGCGGTTCTCACACCTGGACCCATCAAACTCATGGACCGGGGACCAACGGCTTTACTTCCGGAAGGCGTGGTCAGAGATTTTATGCCTCAGAAAATTCCGGTGGAGCCGACTGGGATTGAACCCCGGCCATTTGAGATGAGATGCAATCACGCTAACCACTACACCACTGGCGCCGCTAAGTTTTCAATATTGCTTTTCCCTACAACTTTGTATCAGATGTCACTTCGATTTGAAGTGACAAGTTTATGATACGATTTATTGAAAAATACCATAACAAACAATCATGCAAATTTTTATGCAAATCAGTGAAGGCCGAGGCAAAATTTCTGTTTTGCTATTTTGCCTGGAACTGTTTAACAATGCGTAATCAGGATAATACAAATGGATATTTTTGGTTGCAAGTGAAAATTGGCTGAATGACAAAAGATACTTTCCATCGAAATGTATGGGGACACTTAGGACGACATTAGATACATCATATTAAATCGGAATAACTGAATTATGATTTATCGTTAGACATTTGCATTTGATTCAATTTGTCATAATGCCGCTTATCATAACAAGTGAAAAAATACATCCTTGATGGAGAAAATTGCAAAGACAAAGGCTTTCTTTTTATGAATCTAAGTAAGAAATCGCATCTCCTGGAAACTGAACCACCAGACAACAAACCATGGCACAACTGCTTTCCCATGCAGTGCTGAAAATTTAGAGAGGCGCTGTTCATAATCTAGGTAGACAATATTTTAGAAGTTTTATATTATATTATATTTATTTGTCGGAGTTGGTTGGAAATGCTAACATGAAGCTTTAGTGTGATAATTTATTAGCTAGAGAATGATCTTTAGAAGAGGGTAGGTGGATAGTTCCGTTAGAGTACGGCAGTATGAAAATTGAATAGAAGTTGAAAATGAGCGAAGGGCCATTAATGCGACAGTTTTTAAAGTTAGACGCACATCTTTTGCCTAACCCGCACGATGTACGCGGAGACTTGAAGTATGTCTTCAAGTCTACAGGCAAAAAATGTGCGTCCTCCTTTTGCTCATAAACTGACTGCGGCTGTGGAATAGTTCTAGCGACGTTTTCATCACTACCTAAAGCCCCACGTTGCGAGAGCATTTCCAGTCGATGGTGTGTTATAATGCAATTCTTCTTTACCCAACTATCGTGTTGCTCCTCTCGTCATGACCAACGTGGTCATCTCAGAGAGAAGGCAGTAGCCCTCTTCTGAAGATCATTCTCTAGCTAATAAATTATCACACTAAAGCTTTATGTTAGCATTTCCAACCAACTCTGAAAATCGCTAACTTCGCGTATGAAGTAACATAAAAACACTTTGAATTTATTTGTCGTCAATCATGACAATGGAATTACAAAAATAAAACATTAAAGCGCATTCAACTATCAACCCAATTTCATAACTTCATTATTATGGCTACCAAGGCTTTAAGGGGGTAGTACACTTTGAACGTCCAAAAAGTAAGGCATTTTCGTTAAATTTTTTAAGCAATAAAACACTCAGGGAGGGCAAATATGTTATAACCCATTTATTAGTCATCCTTCGAACTACAATTTGTATTTTTTTGAACTCGATTGGCGTCTCTCCGTGGCCGGTGCACCAGGTCGCGCGGGCGTCCTCGCGCGGAAGTCGGAAAACGGCGTGGAAAAATACTCCTTTCCATGTGATCCTGGAACATAAATCGAACAAAAATCCTGATTAGTAATGAAATTTGGGTTAGAAATACCGATTTTTTTTTAAATTATTTTTTTCAAAAGTTTTGGCCTTACGAAAAAAAGTCCATTTTTTCACCCTAAAAATGCTTACAAAATCGTGGATAAATCCATTTTTGACAAAATCGAAAATGTGGATACGTATTTCTAAGCAGAATTTAATTCTGAACAAGAAAACCTAGGCGATATCCAAATTTGATGATAACTGGTTAGAGTTATTTCCCACGCCAGTTTGAAAAACCCCGTTTCGAGATAAACGCGTTTAAAGATAAATTGCTCTCTCAGCGCGCCGGTACATGTTTTAGGAAATCGCTTCGTAAAGCAGTAAGGAATATTCTGGCGGACTTGGAGTCTTTTCTAAATTAAAATATACATTCCAAGGAGCATTTTAAGCCAAAAAAAAATGCATTTTTTTTTGAAAAATCAAAGTGTACTCCCCCCTTAAGGATTTTCATTATAAAAGAGTTGCTTAGATTTTTCTTCTTTACTTTCCTTAATCCTCGAGTTAGATAATTGCCAATTCTACACGTTGTAGTTTTATTTTTATACCTGTGATCTTGACATGTTTACCTAAGAGATGAGAAGACTGCACATTGTAGTCAAAATACGCCATAGATAAAAAAAAATATGTGGAATTAAATGGAACATAACCTTTTTTGGTGTTGTAACTGCTATCAAAAATCTCTTCACATCTGACACCTTCATACCAAATAATGTCATTGGCTAGAATTATGGTATAAAAATAACTCAAAAGTTATGTTTGGAATCTCGTTAGTCTTAGCAGCGCTTCTCATTCGATTAAAGTTTTGACAATATAGGGGAAATGGATGTAATGTCGGCCTAAATGTACCTAATTTGGGCCCATACATAAATTCAGCGATGGACTAAATTTTCGATACCCAAGCAACATTGCAAGTTTTATTGAGGTTTTATAGCATACTACAAGTCTAAATCATGGTCTACAGAACCCTCATAAAACCCAAATTGTTACTTGGGTAGCGACAAAAAATATCCATTAGTACCGTCGCAATGACGCGTTCATCTAGATAAAATTGTAAAATAGCAGATTTTTAGCGATGGGCCCAATCTTAGGCCCATAGGCCAACATTAGAGCCATTTCCCCTATCAAGGTTTCATTCGTTTGTAGAACGTGAAGAACTTGATGGACTTTGAACTAACGTAACATTAGAGTTATTTCTATTTGAAACATTTATCATTTCTGTATACTATCCGGATTTAGCCAAGTTTAGTGAAACGTCATAATCCTCAGTTTTACCGTCATATTCTTCTTCAGAGAAGTGCGTCAATTGCACCGAAAACGCGACCCTCCCTCCTCCCACGTAGGCAATCGTCCATTCAAATTTATTAAATTTTGTATGGGCCGTAGTCAATCGCCAGCCCTCGGCAAAGTAGCAATAATGTCCGAGATTTACACTCTAGAAAATTTAAAGTGATAGTGCAAATCAGCCATCTTAACGGCCATTTGTGGACTCTATATCGTATCACCTTAACAATAACCAACCTCACAG